GAGTAGCAGCACTTGAGGGAGGAAAAACTAGAAGTTCTGTTTTGGACAGGTTGAGTTTAAGGAAGTGAGCAGCCATCCAGTTGGAAAATTCAGAGAGGCAGTCAGAAACACGAGTCAAGGTGGGCAGAGAGAGATCAGGGGAGGACAGGTAGATTTGCGTGTCATCTGCATATAAATGATATTGGAAGCCAAAGGAGCTGATGAGTTTACCAAGGGAGGCAGACTAGATAGAGAACAGTAGGGGGCCAAGGACAGAAACTTGGGGGACGCCGACAGAGAGGGGTTGGGGAGAAGAGGCAGAGCCAGAGAAAGAAACACTGAAAGAGCGCTGGGAGTGTTAACCTCTACCGCTTCAGCTGGAAGGCTATTCCATGTATCCACTACCCTCTCAGTAATAATACTTCCTGATATTATTTTTAAACCTTTACCCCTCTAATTTAAGACTATGTCCTCTTGTTGTGGTAGTTTTTCTTCTTTTAAATATAGTCTCCTCCTTTACTGTGTTTATTCCTTTTATATATTTAAATGTTTCCATCATATCCCCCGTCTCGTCTTTCCTCCAAGCTATACATGTTAAGATCCTTTAACCTTTCCTTATAAGTTTTATCCTAAAATCTATGAACCAGTTTAGTAGCCCTTCTCTGAACTTTCTCCAAAGTATCAATATCCTTCTGAAGATACGGTCTCCAGTACTGTGTACAATACTCCAAGTGAGGTCTCACCAGTGTTCTGTACAATGGCATGAGCACTTCCTTCTTTCTACTGCTAATACCTCTCCCTATACAACCAAGCACTCTGCTAGCATTTTCTGCTGCTCTATTACATTGTCTGCCTACCTTTAAGTCATCTGAAACAATTTCTCCTAAATCCCTTTCATCAGATGTTGAGGTTAGGACTCTATCAAATATTCTATACTCTGAATTCGGCTGAATTCTAGTCTTTAGGCACTCCAATAGTTCAATTGCTCTGGCTATTTGAAGTCAGAGCTTGTTTATCGATTTTCTTGTTTTCTCCTACTCTTGACCTCAGCTTTTTCTGATTTTTCTATGTTAAATCTGACCATTCTAAGGCCTGGTAATACGTGGTATATCTCTCTTAGTAGATTAGGGTTCGTGAGTTTTGAGCTCATGGCTGTCTTTTTGGGTGAGCTGCTTGCTGCTTATGTAGAGTTAATGGCATATGCTGCAATAATAAATTAATTTAACTAAAGCTGTAATTTTTTGCAGACGAGTTTTATATTGAGTTTACATTTTCTGGGTCTTAATCCTAAAGAGTCACAGGTTTTAGGGTTTCAATGTAATGCCATATAGCAAACATGTTATTTTCATATAGGATGTAAAAGGCATTAGATGTTAACTTGTTTGTAGCCGTCAAGTTTGACCAATGTTTTATACAAGCTTAATTCAAGATAACTTATGGTACTTAAGCACTCCAGATGATAAATGGCTTTCAAATATATTTTCTCAAATATCATACCCACCTCAGTCCCCTAGTACCCACCTCAGCCCCCCTTTGCTCCCACCTCAGCCCCCTCGGCTCCCACCTCGGCCCCCCTGTACCCACCTCAGCCCCCCAGTACCCACCTCAGCCCCCTCTGCTCCCACATCAGCCCCCCTGTATCCACCTCAGCCCCCTCTGCTCCCACCTCGGTCTCCCTGTACCCATCTCAGCCCCCTCTGCTCCCACCTCAGCCACTCTGTACCCACCTCAACCCCACAGTACCCATCTCAGGCCTCTCTACTCCCTCAGCCCCCCAGTACCCACCTCAGCCCCTCTGCTCCCACCTCAGCCCCCTGTACCCACCTCAGCCCCATCTGCTTCCACCTCAGCCCCCCTCTGTACCCACCTCAGCCCCCTCCTGTACCCACCTCAGCCCCTTCCTGTATCCACCTCAGGCCCCTCCTGTATCCCCCTCAGCCCAACTCTGTACCTACCTCAGCCCCAATCTGTACCCACCTCAGCCCCCTCTGTACCCACTTCAACCCCCTCTGTCTCTGCCACAGCCCCGCCCCCTGTACACACCCCAGCTCCTCCTCCACACATCACATCTATCCTTGCACCTACCTCAGCCCCCTGTCTCCCTGCACCCAACTCAGTCCCTCTGTACTCACCACAGCTCCCCCTGCACCCACATCAGCCACCATTCCTCCCTACACTCACCCCAGGATCTACCTATCCCTGTACCCACCTAAGCCCCTATGCACCCACCACAGCCCTTATGCCAGTTCCACCTGCCATAGCCTGCCTACCTGCACCCACCACAGCTCCTTCAGCACACACCACATCTCCCCCTGCACCCACCTCAGCCCCTCGCCTACCTCAGCCCCCACGCCCACCTCAGTCCCATGCCTCCCCGCACCCACCTCAGTCCCTGGGCCTCACCGCACCCACCTCGGTCCCCATGCCTCCCCACGCCCACCTTTGTCCCCATGCCTCCCCACCCCCACATCAGTCCCCATGCCTCCCTGCGCCCACCACAGCCCCCGTGCCTCCCTACACCTTCTTCAGCATCTATCCCCCCATGCACACACTACAGCCACTGTAACCACCAGATGCCTACTACAGATTCTATCCCACACACACATTGCAACACAACCAGCCCTCTCCACTCACATACTGCACTGCAAATAGCCCCATTCACACACGCAAAACCCACAAGGAGCCTCACTGTATAGACACAATCCCACAAGCAGGATCCCCACACATACAAAAACACATACAGCCTCCCTACACATCACAAACAGCATACCCACCATTGCAATACTGCATACAGCCTCCACACACAATTATTACAATCACTTATATAGTGCCAACATATTCTGCAGTGCTGTACAATAGGTAAAACAAGAAAAACGATTAATTCTAACACAAACTTTGACATACAGGAACAAAACATCACTAGCAGCATCCCCACACACACAACCTCCAAACACATGTGCCTACTTGTATGGTTGCACATTTGGGGGATGCTGCTTGTGATGTCATCAGCAAAATCAGTGGAAGTGTGTAATTAAATTTGCTTTATTTTATTTTGCTGGGGAGGCACGAGGCAAGGGTTATTCCATCTAAAAACAATGTTTATGAAAACACTGTTTTTGTTTGGATTAACCCCTTAAATGTAAAACTGGCAATTTTGGGGGGCTCTGCGGGTGTGGGAGTCATAGCTATGTGGCTCTCACACAGCCATTCTGTGTGCTGGGCAGCGAGCACATAATATCTGTGTGAAAGCTGCAGAAAGAAGGGGGAGATGAATAGAACGGGGCCAAAAAAACATGCACCAGGAGAGGGCCCTTGATCACCCACTGCGGCCCTGTGAGTGGTCAGTCCACACCTGTTGGAGAATAAACAGATGTGTCCACTTATAAATCTCAAAACTTCAATTTTTTTTCATTGTTTATTGACATTACAAGATAGCATTTATTGTCTGAGATATCTTATTTTAATATCCAGTTAGATTGCAAAGATAAATTTTAGGGTACTTACCATTACCAAAAAAGCCGCGACCCCCTCCTTTTACCATACGTACTTACCAAAAATGTGTGATTGCTGAGGAGTTTTAACATTTGGAAAGAAATATAATGGCAATTCACGTCCGTGGTCGGGTCAGTGGTCACCAATTTCACAAAAGTGGCGAAACCCATTTTCTAGAAAGCAAAGGTGTCTGTAGGTTTGTTTATTTTTCTCATTACAAACGTTGATATATTGATGGTACATGCTGGCAACTTTTGGCCAAGGATGCAAGTAGAAATTAACAGACTTTTTAAAGTCGTATTGTTCTCTTTGTGGCTGGCTCCATTGTAGAGAATGTAATATATTGGTTTGACAGATGGAGGCTGCTGGAGTTGTGAGGTCTGACACCAATTATCTTTGCAACCTCTATAAGTTTGACCTACACAGCTTGATACATTATTCACAGTTATTTGTGCATGACTTAGGAGAGACATCCACCATATCTGTGGCAGACACAGAAATGGAGTCCTCCATCAACGTTGCCATTTTAAAATCTGAGGTGATCAGGGCTGCCGCGAGCTACACGGCTGTCCTGATCATCTGATTGGCTAAAACTCTGTTGCTGTGCAGGAGCACAGCACAAGCATTTTTAGCGCGGCAAAATATTTCTCCACATACCCACTAGCTTTGCTAGGTGGTTATGCCTCCCGGAGGGACAAAGAATTATTCCACTGTTACCAATAATAACTGGTGTGTGTTATGAACACAAACTCAGTGTTAAACTAGCAAAAACCATGTACAGTTTCTTACATCACTCCATCAGTACTGAGCAAGCAGACACCCCAACACACCTCCCATTATATTAATCTCCATAAAAATGATGGGAGACTTCAAAACACTAGCATAAAACTAGCGGGCCCCTGTTATATACATTGCTACCTCTCATTTTGAATACTTGCCTTGTTCTCTTTTTAGAACAAAGTGCATTACATTATGTTTTTATGTATGTATGAGCTATCACTTCATTTTACATAAAGTACTGTTGCCATTGTGCCTTTTTGTTCAATAAAATAATGTAAAAAATTTAATTATACCACTAAAAAATAGCCAGTGGATGCAAAAATACAATAAATCCCAATCTATGAGTACTGATTTGCAAGTCATTATATTATAATTTCACTCCTCTTGTCTCCCATACCCCCACCCCTCTCCAGAATTCCTTCAGTCTCCATTACTCAATTGTCCTGCTCTCTACCTATTACCATTTCTCTTTCTCTCTGTCAGTTTTTCGTTATCTCATCTCTTTCTTTGTTTTCTCCCCTTTATCACACTGCCTTCTTGATGTGGTTCTCTGCATTACTTTCCATGCATTCCGCAGGGCTGTATTTCCCATGAGGCAGATAAGGCACCTGCTTACAGGAACAGTCCTGTAGAGGGCACCTGTCTTCAGCACTTATAATGTGCATTTTCTAATTGAGGTGGGCTGGTAAGGAGAGGTAAGTAAGGGAGTCTCTGCCAACGTCCTCTGTAGTCCAGTCAGCCTACTATGCCTGATAGCAGAGCTGTAGGAACAGTTATAGAGGTGTCCCAGCTCCTCCAGGGACTGTGTGCTGCTGGACAGGAAGTTGAAGTGATCACTTCCCATCTGCTCAATAACAGGAATGCCTTGCAGATGGAACAGGGACAGCACTGAGTGATGCACACTGTATATAAACTCCTGCAGTTCTATCAATATATTATCATAGGAAGGGGGTTGGGCTACAGAAGACATTGGTGGGGGAGTGTTGTTCAAACTCCACAATGCCTTAAACACCCCTTTTCCCTAAATCTAAATTTAACATACCCAGAACCCTAATCAAACAAGCATGTATTTCTAATAAGAGAATGCTACCCTACATATTTGGAGTATCCCTGCCTCCCCCCACCAAACAAAAAAAAAAGCTATTACCCCAGTCCATGATCACCCCAACTCAATTGCCTGGGAATATTAATGATCTCCGACAATTCAATGCTCCCCCTAAGGAAAGTATTGAAGTAATGCATTGCAATCACCATTTTGCAACAATTAGAATTTTCTCATAGAGTTGCATTGACTCAATGCTTCTATGGGAAGATTTCAGCATCTCCATGCAGACCCAGGAAACCACTTTAGTAGCTGTCAGAGTGACTGCCACTAGAGGTTGTCTTAGGCAGCAATGTAAACACTGCCTTTTCTCAGAAAAGGCACCGTCTACACTGCTGAGGCAGTTGGGACTGTCTCTAAGCCTCAAAAGCACTGGTGCTTATAGTTTTTTGTGCCTATAGTTTTCCTTTATGTTCATTTTAATGGTAAACTACATGAGATACACAAGATACGTGGAAGAGGTCTGTATTAATAGCCCATATAATATACAAGTTGCAGACAAATGCACAATTATGACTCCCACAGGCCACCCACAGAGGGTCAGAATCACTTTTAATGCACCTGTGGATGCAGAATTTGGAAAGTTTGCCCCTACCCACTCCCACTCTAAAAAACTCCCAAATTCTCAAATACACATGCATACACACACATTCTCACACACACTTTGCCATGCACACATGCATACAAACTCTCACACAAACACACACATGAATTTCATTCATTTACTTATTTATTTAAGAGGTTCACCCAGCCTCCATACCTTTATCAGAAAAAAAGGAGAAGATGTGGGAAGTATAGTGGGAGAATGGGGAGAGAGACAAACAAACAGGTGGAACATATATGGGGTTGGAGGTGGAAGGGCCACTATTGCAACAGGGCCCTAAAGTTCCACTGGCTAAGCTGGGGCCCCCTTTCCAAAAATACTACTTGGTATTGTAGTTGATACAGAAGGTCTGGTGCCAGGCTTGGGACCCAGACCTATTCTGCCCAGTGTTTGTCCCTTCTCCAAAGGGAATATACAGCAGGGAGACAGCCTTTTCTTTCAACAGTACTCTACTAGTAATGTCAAGCAAATATCAGCCAGACACTTGATAAAGTGGGGAACATCAATGGACCCTGTATTTAGACTCACATTGAGTTTTTATCTATTTATTTTTCTGTACAGTGAGCACAAGTCAACCAATAGCAGTAATGACATGAGATAGCAACCAATCACACCACTACGCTTAATTAAATTACTAATAGCGTGAATGGAGTTCTGTGTTTACAATGAAGGAAGAGTGGGGACAGACAATAACAGGACTGTTCCATATGGGAGACTTAATGGAGTGGCAATTCAGTCATTTTGAACTGGTCTGGAACTCCCTGGAACAATGGGACCATGACCTAATGGGAAAACAATAAGACAGGAAAGGGGGGAGGGGGAAAGGCATATATAACCTGGACAATCAATACATTCATTTTAATTCCGACTACACAATATAGAAAATCACCACCATTTTAAACCAGATGAAAAGCAATGGAAAGGCGGGGAAGCATCCGTTAAAGGTACATTACAGATTACTGGCAGTCATGTATTGAGGGCAGGGGGTGGCAATATCTAAAGCTCTACATTTATTTCTTACTCGCTCCCCTGCCCTGCCTCTTCGTTAAGTCTTGCCATCCTGGAACAGAAGGAATGCTATTATAGTTTACATGGAAACTCATAGTGCATTGCTTCTGCTCCCAGCAGAGAATCAATGATGAGACTGGGCAGGGGAGCAGCAATGGAACACAGATCCAATTGCTTAGTAAGTAAGCCCTTATTCCTATGAAAACAAATGGATCCAAAATATTTTGTTTCAAATCGTTCTGAATTCTTTCATTTTCAGTTTGTTTGGTGTATAAAGAATTCAGAAATGTGGGCACTGTCGACTTGACGTATTTGGTTGAAATTTGATTCGGAATTAAACAAACTGTATATGTCTAATTATAAGTACATTTCAAATTTAAGCCATCAGACAGCTGTTGAAGGTGATTTGGCTAATAAACGTTGTGGTCACACCAAATGTCTCACATGTGGTTTTATTTGCCCTCACATCTCTACTTTCAGTCCGTTTAATAGCACGGAGATTTTTTCTGTACAATCCCCCATCACTTGTAATACCTCTTTTGTGGTATATCTTCTTATCTGTCCTTGTGAACGGCACTATGTGGGTCAAACCACCAGGTCTTTAAAATGTAGATTTCGGGAACACAGAACAGCTATTATACGTAACAATGGTAGATCTTTGATGGCCCGACATTTTGCTATCTTTCATGAGAATAATCCTGTTGGTCTTAAGTTAGTGGGAATAGTACATATCCCCCCCCCATCAGGATGAAGCTAAGCGGAGGAGGGAGCTTACTAAGGCTGAATCCATGTGGATTTTTAAGCTCAATTCTATGACTCCTAATGGCCTTAAGGAGGAGTTAGAGTTGTTTTAAATGCTATGGATACAGCTACTGTGGGCTCTTTTTCTATTTGCTAATTTCTGGAGACTTAAGGTTTCTTTCCTCGATATGGCAGTAATAATAATTTTGCCCACCTTTTGTGTATATATGTATTTATTATATATTTTTTATATATGTTTGTTGCCTGACCATTTATATTAAGATGTTGTGTATATGTTATATTACATTACATTTTTATATATATATATATTTACTAATTGTTTTTATTTAATTTAATTTGATATGTATGTATCTTTATATTTTGTATTTGAATACTGTTGTGAATCCAGCCCGGGGTTTCTTTGCCGTAGTTTCCCTGCTGTGTGGGGTATTTATACCGGGTTGCTCACATATTACCTTCAGTCTTGATAAAGTCCCGTGGGAGGGACGAAACGCGTAGACAGGCTGAGTTCTGGACCTGCCATTATTGATTGCTATTTTGGGAGTGAAAGCAGGAAGTATTTTTGTATTTTGGCGGTTTCCCCTTCGTTTGGTCAAGCTCGCTGGATATTGCCATTGATAGTACATCTAGCCGTGGCGGGGAATATTTCCGATTTTCACCGCGGTCTTTTTTGAATATCCCGACCGCGGTGCATCAGTTAACCACCTCGAAGGATACAGAGTGTGCCGCACTTATTTCAAGTTCCATTTTTATACTGTTGCTTTTTCATTCTTACCTCGGTGGGGGCCCACACCGAGGACAGGTACTTTGTATACAATTTCTCTATTACAGTGTATCCTCATTGGTATTTGTGTCTAGGTTTAGGGTGGGGAAGCACTCAGACACATTGTTGCTTTTCACATAGAGTCTGGGTGTTTATCTCTTACTTTTTTCATTAGTCATAAGCTGTGTGGCTACATTTGTTTAATGATAGAGATACTGTTTTTAATTGTCTTTATAGCAGGTCCAGACTATTTTTGGTATTTTGCTTATTATTATTTTTTATCCGTTTCTACTGAATAAACACTGGTTTATTTATAATTATAATCATTTTAGTTTTTATTGATTGGGTAAGCGTCCACACTATATATAATTTTTGAGCTTATACTCAATAATAGTCACTGGTGATTGTGTGGAGCTACCCTCCCCCCCTTTTTGTTTATATATTTCACCATTGCTATATATTTTTATATCATTTCAAATTTAAGGACAAAGTAGCCTAATTGGATGCATAGCTGACTTCAAGAATTTGTATAGGATTTAAATTTTGTACGTTGAATTTACTTGGTCGTGTCTCTCTGTAATCTCTTTATCAGTGGTTAAGTGTAGGGATCAAAGCTTTTTTTAGGTGACTTCATAACCTTGTGGTAGTCCTTCGTGTAATTTAACTCCTTTAGTATCAAGCACTTTTTGTTTGAAAAAAATATTAGCGTGACAATTATTAGAAATAATTGATGTATAGCAAGCACATAATAAAATAGCAGTTGTGTACATTTTGTCTTTCAGACAAACATAAAAATTAAAGTTATGTAAATGTACACAATCTTTTTTTTTTTTCATTTTTCATCCTTTATAGAAATGTTTGGGAATTAAAAACTATTCAGTTTACAGAGTGCTTTATCTGGAAATATTTCACTCAGCGTGTTAGTGTTAGTATCAAAATATATATTTTCTCACATACATTAGGTGTGACAAAAATAGATAAATACAAATTATCGACTGGCATGCTTACAGATGTGTATAGGGAATCTGAAGGTATTACAGAAAATGACAAAAGAATGTAAAAAGAATATTTGCATACTGCAATTGAGAATAAAGCCTATATATAGAAAATACAGCTAAATCATGGTAGATCCCATGCATTCCTTTCCTCTCTGACTGTAGGAATAGTATCTCCCATTGAAACTTCCTTTATCGTTTGGATGGAAAGGGTGAGCTGACCTTTTCAGCACACTTGCTGCCATTACATTTGTGACTAGTGTTTTGTGGAAGATAATGTGTTACTCTACAGGCTGGTAATCATTCCTAGAGGGTAAATGAGGATGAGTAAGGCTTTATGGACTAAATTGCAACTTGCAAACTATATGAAAATAAAAAATATGTATACTTGATTGTGGAAGTAAAGGGGTTTATAATTAAATTACAACAAATAACATATTTTATTTTCCAAATCTGATAAATACGTTTAATAAAATATAAAGGCAAATTACTGTGCATTTTGCTCTTTTGCAGCTCTGTTTTTACATTCAGACACCAACATTGCTGAGCTCCTCGAAAAGAAGATTAATGTAGAAAAGAAAGCCAGAGTGATTAGGGTCACGAAAACATTCTTGCCTAAAGATGGATTCTTGGGAGGTACAGTCGTGGGAAGCACATTTCCTTAGGGTGTGCATCTGGATAATTTATTTTTTATAGTAAAGGGAGATTATTTATTGAAAACAA